GGGTTGGGTCATGGCGGCGGCGGGGCGGTTGCCGGCTCTGGTCCTGCTCCTCCTGGTGGCTTTTCTGCTGGGAGGAGGAACGGAGGGACCCGGTACCGTTTGGGCAGCTCGCAGCCGGGGTGCCGAAAAACAAAACAGCCTCCGCCGAGCCGCCAGCGGCCTCTACCAAGGCGTCAGCGGCCTCGTCGGCGAGGACAACGTGAGGGCCCTGCAGAAGGTGAGCTGCCGGTTGGCTTCCTCCACCCCCGCCGCCTCCTCCTCATCCCTGTTCCCCTTCCGTTCTTTTCTCTCCGGGGGTGACCGGGAGGTTCTGTGAGGCAGAGCACCCCCGGGAATCCGTCCCCGTCCGCCGGTGCCCGGCGTTGGACCCGGCGGCGGCCTCGTCTCCTGTGCGGGAGCATTAGGTTTGGGGAAGAAAACAGGAGGCGAGGCTTGATGTGGAACAAACCGGGGGGGGGGAATAATTAATAAAATAAATCTCTAAATAAAGGTTGTTTCGGGTGGGGGAGAACCGCTGTCGGTGAGGAGCCCTCCGACTGAAACGTGGTCTCTGCATCAGCAGAGCATCCTCTGTAGGGCCACATGTGAACTTGCAGGATGTAAAGCATGCAGGCAGGCGGACCTATACATTCCTCTGCTCCTTCTTTCTTCAGCCAGTAGGAAGAAATAATACTGTTAAATTCACCTGTAAATGCATTTGAGACATTTGGGGCTGATGCCGGGGATATCTCTCAGTTGCTGGATAAAACTAAATCTCTGCTTTGTTTTACCAGTGCCCATTGCTAGTAGCGGTGTCTGCTTTAAACTTCAGAACGATGGTAAAGCTGATAAAGTGCATTTTTACATCTTGCCAACGTATAAATTTACATGCCAAAATACCTAGAATAAGGGCAATTGTAATAAGTAGATTTAAGATTTGCAGAGTTAAAAAGCATTTATTTTTTTTTTTCCCTGGAGGACTTCAAAATGGTCTGCAATTCTTATTTCATTAATTATAATTTTCATGACTACTAAGTCTTAAAGTGTGTTTAAGGAATTGAGGGTTACTTTTTTAATTTTCAATTTTATTTCCCAGTTTTTCTCAAGGTTGACAGAAAGGTTTGTGAATGGGGTGGATATATTAATAGACACATTCTGGAGAATATGGACGGATTTGTTAGATGTTCTTGGAATTGATGGTAAGTGTGATGCCTGTTAACTCTTGAACTTTATCAGCCCGTATCGGTGTTTAAAAGCATAGGCCGAGTGGGAAAATAATTACATTTTATCAGGCTGCATTAAACATCCACCCACGGTATCTCTTATCTGCTTTACATGGCTTTGATTTTGCTATCAGTACCTTCAAACAAGAGGACTAAAACCAGCCATTCCATTTCTTGGTATCATCATTAAATGGATGCTCACAGCCAGGAACAGTGCAGGGAAATAAAGGAGGGCTAGAAGAAGGAAAGGTGCAATTGAGAGCCGTTAGAATATAACTTTTATAAACAAGGATCTTTAGTCTCAATGTAAACTTCGACCTTACGCCCACAGTAGTTTGTCTTTGAAGAACCTTTAGCACTTCGGGTTTGAAGGAATTAATTCGATTGCATCACTGGAGCTGAGCCAGTAATATGAAGAAGGTCCATCCAGAACTGGATGAACTAGCTTTACCCCTTATTTTAGAAAGCACAGTTGTGACCCCACTGCATGACCCTTTGAAGCTGCACTTGCATTTTTACCCTTATCACTTTGGCAGGCACTCATTAATATTCTGTAAATTTTCCTTTTGTTTTCCAGCCTCCAACTTGACTCATTATTTCAGCCCAGCAGCAATTGCCAACAACCCGACCCGTGCTCTTCTGCTGATCGGTGCCATTTTACTTGCCTATTGGTTTTTATCTCTCTTCCTTGGATTCTTCTTCTATCTCCTGCACATGCTGTTTGGTCGCTTTTTCTGGATTGCGAGGGTTGCCCTTTTCACTCTCTCGTGCGTGTACATCCTCCAGAAGTATGAAGGTGACCCAGAGCACGCAGTCCTGCCTCTCTGCTTCGTTGTAGCGGTCTACTTCATGACGGGGCCAGTTGGATTTTACTGGAGAAGAAACAGCAACAGCAGCCTCGAGGAGAAGATGGACCACCTGGATAGTCAGATCAGACTTCTGAACATCCGTCTTTCTAGGGTGATTGAAAACCTGGACAGAGGGGGTGACCAGTGAAACCAGCCCCTATAGACCACTCTACACCAGCTCTAGGAAATTCCTAAGCACTGTCTCATTTGAAGTTACAAAGCAACAAAACGTCACATGGTAAAAAGTGGGCAAAGCTATAACTTTTCATCATGTGTGAGACTAATTTACCTAGATTATACACTCAGCCATTATACTTGTAGGAAGGAAAAAAACACATTTAAAAATCCAGCTGTATATTCAGAGAGTTTTATCCAGTAATAGAATTTTCTCAGTAGATAAACGCTTACTTTTACAAGCATTTAAAAACATCTTTTGTAAAGTTTTTATAAAAGCAAATTGAGTAGTCTTTCAAATATTGAAATTGAGCTAAAGATATGCAAATCTGAGACTTAAAAAGTTAAAAAGAAAAAAAAAATAATCTCAAGCTACCAAACACTTCCATTGAGAAGTAACTGCTGTGGGTCCACTTTTTTTTTTTTTCCAGAGTTGTGAATGTTTTTGTTTTATTGTTGGCTTATCTCATTGCCTTGAAGTTGCCTTTCATAGAGTATCAGGTGAGGAATTTTCTGGTATCCAGGCCAAAAAATTCGCACCATAGCTTTTAATAGGAGGTGGGGAATAAGGGAGAAGGAAGATTTCATAAATTTGAAGTCCTTAAATGCCAGTCCAATGTGAGGAACTGAGAAGTGCACGTGTGGCATTATTTCATTGCATTTCATCTTGAGAACTTTAGTTTGGTGTCTCATAGGAAATCTCTTTTAGGAAATTGACACAAAAGGAAGAGCTACAGTATGGCAAATTGTAATTCATAGTTGATCTTCACAGTTGAGCGTTTGCCAAGCGTAAGTGCATAGAATGAAACATGATTTTTAATCTCAGGACCCACGTACTTTCTCAAAAGAGGCAGCAGTTAAAACTCTTGCAGATGTATTGTTGCTTAAAGCTTTCTCAGGACCAATAAGCGGCAATAAATATCTTCAGGAAGATCTGGATTTTTTTCTAAAATCATAATAGTTTTATAGGAGCTTTTTGCTTGAAGTCTGTGTCCTCGCTATATTGGGTTTGGGAGAAAGTGAGTCACCTTATGAGAAGGGTGTGTTGAACAGTTGTAGGAGCTTTGAAGCAATTTTATTCTGAAGGATTCTGTGTATTTGTAACTTTAGGATTAACTAGCTTGGTACACTGTCACTGGCTTTGTAAGGTTTGCTGAAAAGCATTGAAACAAAGGGAACCTCAGGGAAGAAACTGGGAGAAGTGGTGCCATTGCTGGTGAGGGCTCTGGAGAGCAAGCCTTATGAGGAGATGCTAAAGGAGGTGGGGTTGTTCAGCCTGGAGGAGGCTGAGGGGAGACCTCGCTCTCTACAACTACCTGAAAGGAGGTTGTAGAGAGGTGGGGGTCGATCTCTTCTCCAGGTCACAGGCGATAGAAGAAGAAAATGACAAGAGAAAATGGCTTCAAGGTGTGCCAGGGGAGGTTCAGATTGGACATCAGGAAAAATTTTTACACGGAAAGGGTTATTCAGCATTGGAATGGGCTGCCTGGGGAAGTGGTTGAGGCACCATCCCTGGAGGTATTTAAAACAGGGGTTGACATAGTGCTCAGTAACATGGTTTAGTGATGGGTTGTTGTTTTTTTTTGTTTTGGTTTGTTTGTTTGTGGGTTTTTTTTATCAGAGTTAGGTTGGTGGTTGGACTAGATGATCCTAAAGGTCCCTTCCAACCTAGACAGTTTTATGATTTCATGATATCAAAGGGGGGAGGGAGGGGCAGCATCTGAACCGTAGTGATGAGCACAGTAGCAAACCCACCAGAGGTCAAATGGACCACAGCTGAAGAACCACATACTCCACAGTGTCTAAACAACCAAGTAAAGAAAAAAAAAAAAAGAGGAACCAAAATTGGTCTTTGATAGGGACTGGCTAAAAAGGAAGGGGAACAAATATGAGTAGGTGCTGTTGCTTTGCCCGCGAGTGCTGGCTCCAGGGGGCCGGGCTGTGGAAGCCGAGCAGAGCCGGGCGCTTGGTCTTTGGCTTCTTGTTTTGTTGGGTAGAGCTTTTGTTGGGTGTGACACCTAACTGAATGTAACTGGGGGGTAAATTTATTTTTCTCTTTATGCTGAAGCTTAATGCTCTTAAAATGTGTGTTACATGCCTAACCTCTTTTGGTCTGTATGTGACATTGACATGAGGGATTCTTTTAAACTCCATGTTAATGGCCTTTACTCCAGACTGTGATCACTTAAGTTCAACACTGTTGAAGTTCATATGCAGCTGGCACTGTTGTAATCCATTTTAATTTTTTATGTCACCTGTAAATCCCCCTGCGCCCCATTTTTCAAGAAATGCAAAGTAACTGCTTTTCATAACTGAAAATCTTTCCCATGAGCAGATAAGTCCTATGGCAACAAACAGCCGCTTTGCAAAGCTGAAAGTGTAAACTGCTGTACGTTCCTTTTTACAGCTCCTTTACCATAGTATTACAGAGTCTTCCCTGTAAACTCAGTTTTCCCCACTGTTGTGCACAGAGGAGTGGGCTGAAACACCCACCTGGAAATTAGGAACCAATTAGCAAAGCTTGTCAGGTCTTTATGTGTTTTGCTAAATTTGAGGCCTGAGGACCAAAGGCTGCAAACCTCGCTCGTGTAAGCGGCTCCCTCGACTTCCGTAGGACTATGTGCATGAGTCAGTTTTGCATAGATTGTATTTTGTGTAGTCCATATTTAATGCTGAAGGTAAAAATACTGAATTGTTTATATATCAAGAGTTGTCTATGATAAAGATTTCTTTTAAGATACTATATAAAAGTTAATTTGGATTGTAGTTTCTCCCCGTCTTGCTCTAATTGCTTCTCTTAGTTTTGTAAAATCAGCCCTCCTATATTAATGCTCTTAATTTTGATCACCTTGCTGCTTGAAAAAAAAAAAAGTATTTTTGTATTTACTTGCTTCCCATGTATAGCAAAATGTTATGTGAAAAGCAGTATATATAAAATTGGATATTTTTAATCAGTATTTTTCCCAGCGCTCAGTTTTCACATTAGTCAAATTCAGAAGTAATGATTTTTTTTAAAGCACAATCTAATCTTATATATATATATATATACACACTTTAAAAATGCTCTGTATTTTTAATCATGCACTGTAGTGAAAGCGCTTTTGGGACATGAATGTGGTATTGTATTTAACCTCTTTCAACTTTTGTAAATACCTTTTACAAGTATTTTCCATCCCGAGTCATCTAGTTTGCCCATGGCGGTTTTTGCTGTGTTTTTTAGCACTGGTTCCGCTGGCAGTGGTCGCACTGCTTTTCTATTGCCATTGCTGGGAGCAGCTCCTGCCAGTTCGCAGGGACGTGCAGGTGTCTCCTCGTCCCAGACTCGCCTGGGTCGGTGGCAGAAATGGGGCTGAATCCCCAGATCTGGGCGATCCTGGCCCGTTGCTCTATCGGCTCCGGCTCCCCCGGGGCGGGTGGGAGCGTCTCAGTGCTCCTTTACCAGCCGCTGCCCTCGACGTCGGAGCAACACAGCATGGGTGACACCCGCGGGGTGCAGTGGGACGGGGTGACACCCCCCACCTGTCCTCTCCTCCCGTGAGCTCCAGAGCAAAAGACCTTCCCATCTGTGGCCACCACCTCGGAGAACGTCACCCGCGTTAAAGATGGGCTCCGGGCTGTCCGGTGTCAGAAACCCCGGCAGGGTCTCCAAGTGTTTTTAAACTTCATACTTTAAAACCTCGTATTTGAAACTACTGTAGTATTTTCAATACATTCGCATTTTCTTTTTTTTTTTTTTTGCAAAACTAACGTGGGTAGCACTTTGTTTGGAAGTACACTCCTCGCCTATAGATAACCCCACCCCGTCGTGCTCGGGGCGTAACGCTGTTAACAGTGGTATTGGGTGTCAGAGTGCAATGTTATAAACTGGTGTAATTCAGTGCTGTGCTTAGTAGTGCGTCCTTCCAGTTGTGATCTGCTTTTACAGACTCGTTGCATCGTTAGTGTGGAAAATAGACCAGTGTCAATCTTTGCTCTTCGATGGTGTAGAAGTTTTTAACCCGTGTGATTTGCCTCGCGTACTGATCCGTATTTGGCAGCTAATGACGTAAATGACCATTAAGTTCTTCTTTTGTCTGGGTTGGGAAATAAAAAAAAAGGTTTTATTGTATCCGCATGTATTTTAAAACTTTTTTTTTTTGGATAATTCCGCGGAGTTATGATGACGGCACGTGTCGAAATGGATCTTTTTTTTCCTTTGACTCGGGAGACGGCACCGGGGGTAGCGATTCCCAGGTGGGAAGAGGGTGACATTCCAGTTTGTACAACGGTGTTCTTGTTTAAAAAAAAAAAAAAAAAGAAAAAAATATATATAACTTCGGCTTGAAGAGATGGTGTGTGTATACTTTAGACGTATATGATCCATAGGGAAATACTAGATTCTACTGATAATAGCGTTAAGTAGTTACGAATAGACCGGGCTTTATTTTTTACGGAGCTACACTTTGCTTTTATTTATGAATTACCACCCCCACCCCCATCCCCGTTCGGCGTCGCCGGGTGTTTGTAGCCGGGTGTTGTTTCACCCCGTCGGCTGTGGTTGTTGTGACGAAGCTTCAAATAAATGTTGACTGAAACTTCCCCCTCAGGCGTCCCTTGGCTTTGTCGGTTCCCGCGCTCAGGGGAAGGGCGGGGCGCGGCGC